GAGAAGTTATTCCCCTTTTCCATTCACCTTTGATAATTAATCACTGTAAATAATGTATTTGAATAAGATAATTATGCAAGAATGTTTATCGTATAATTAAAAAAGTACTTTCTTAGTTTTAATAATCAGGTAGACCTGTAAGTAATAGATAAATAAAAATGAGACAAAAATAACTTATCTTATTAAAAGTTCTTCAAAGACCATAAGAGAGGTCTATGCTAGAGGTCTTAATATGGGTTTAAAAATAGTACAGAAGCACTAACAGTTTGTTAATAGTCTACATGGTGATAGCGTTAGGTGGGGGACAGATTAGAACTTAATTTATGAGTTGATACTGAATACCAGACTAATTATTTTGTTGATCCTGATCTTCAATGATCTTCCTACTTCTCTTGCTTTAGGGCAACAATGCTTCATCTATCAGTGTATTTAATTTCTAAATTGTTGTATTATACTCAGGTGACTGTTAAGGCCCTTGGGCCTCTTGTTTAAATAACCTATAGCTAACAGGTAAGTTAAAAAATAATAATAATAAATATTGGAAAAAATTTTTTATCCATGAAATAATGATTCTTTAAACACAATATGTTTATAATTAAATTTCAAAACCTGTAAACCCTTAGAATTACTTTCATGTTCTTTTTCCCTTTAAAAAAATTAAGCCCTATACTGAGTTTCAAATGACAATGAAGAATGAATGATGAGTGAATGCTGAACACAAGATGAATCACTACTAGCCTAAATAATTACTGATAGTGCCACTTTTTACTGCTAATTTCTGATATTTACTGATATTATACTGTTGGTACTGAGAATTTCTGATATTTGCTGATATTTTTTCTGTTGTTACTGATAATTGCTGATGGTTCTGATAATTACTGATATTTACTGTTGTTTCTACTGTGGTTTCTGATAATTACTGATATTTGCTGAGAGTTACTGTTGGTACTGAGAATTGCTGATAATTACTGAGATTATTTTCTAAGTTCATGAGATGCAAAAAGAAACTGGGGTGGATGGATTAAATAAATCAAACAAATTAATTTAATTTAATAATTTATTTATTATAACTTATTTTAAGCTGTAGGTATTTAGAATTTGTAACTTGAGTGACAGCAGGGGAAGTATGCATTTTTTTTCTCGTGAAAATTATTTTTTAGTAATCATATATTTGAATTTAATTTCTCTTTCCGTAAGAAGATTGTCCCCCCCCCCTCCCCCACACACATTTCATCCTGTTTCTTAGTTCTTAAGGACTTACTTGTATTATTTCAATCGATGAAGTAGGCCTAAAAAGGACGTAACAAATCAGTTTCAATGAAAGCAATTTAAAAAAAAAACTGGATTCATATTTAATATATACATATAGTGCGGTGATGTTGGACATGGAGATCATCTAAGGTTCGGATGGGAATGTATAAACGGCGGTTTTCTGTCACAGTAGGTGCTAACACAAAAAAGATTCCTCAGAGATCAAATAGTGCAGAGTCACGAGAAAGATCTCTCTCTGCTCATTGTCCCTTATAAGTGCAGAGTACAGATTGGAATTTGCATGAGAAAGATTTCTCATTATGTAGGTAAAAATGTCGCCGAGTACATGTCAAAAGTTGAACACGGAAGATCCTGCCACCGATTTATGGACATATAAATGTACATGTAAGTGCAGCGTACAGGTTGAAATTCGCAGCTTTTAACATGCAAATAATGGCGTCACAATATGAGTGAAAAGTTATCTAAAGAACACATGTAAAAAAAAATAAATAAAAAAACCGTTCATTTTTAATGCGATACAATGTACTATAGTTATTTGTTTCAGAAAATTCTTGATCCGCCGCACCCAAGTATTATAAGAGATTGGATCAAAGTAAGTCAAGATCGATTCACCACCAGTCCGTACACACATTGTAATGGTTTGAACGTTTTCTACAGCATTACAGATTTTCATCGGAAACATGTACGTCACGTAGTTCAAAACCTTTACTTGTTAAGACACATACAGTATAATAATGTTTTTCGAATACATTGATCATGATTCCATGTGTGTCGTCAAAAATATTTTTAAAAAATAGAGATTTTTCATGGACAGTTAGTAAAAACAACCAATGGGAACAATAAATGTTCGATACACATAAAAACTCAGCGTAATTATTTCATATCCGTAGAGAAATAAACATAATTCATGTACAATTTTGACTGAACATGTCCAGAGACATATTATCCTTAAAATAAATAAAATCAATTTTAATGCTAATATTTTATATGTTTTAACTGCTGGATATCTTAAAACGGGCTAATTACACGAAGAAACTTAACCAGAAGTTTGTAGCAAATAAGTTTTGAAAGGGGGGGGGGGCACGCGCGATCTATAATCAATAAGTGTCTTATTTAGGGCTGAGTCTCTTCAGTGGAAAAATATTTCTATGATTTTTGCAGAAGGGTAGACATTTACATGTGTAAATGAGGACATACTGTACAAGTAAAATACACACGGAAGTATAGTTGATTTGTTAACTTCAGGAAAACAACAGATCTGAAATATTTTTATACAAAGTTTAGCGTGTTGTTGGAGTTAATTGAAACAAGCCAAGGTCATTTAACAAAGAATCAGCATGTTTGATATCAGTATGGACTATTTCTAACTTAATTGACAAACTATCCCTCATTAACAGTTACTGTGACATATTTTCCTGTTGCACTTAGCTCATTAAATTCATCAGAATATTAAAAATTACATGAAAAAGTTCAAAATCCTGTTCGATTTACCACAAAAATATTTTATTCATTCCAAATGTTACAAGTATATTTTGTCTGATTACTGTTAAACACAGTGACGGGGTCCTAGGACTTTCAAGGGTATTGTACACAAACGGAAGCGCTGTCGATGTACACTGTGCGGTAGCGAGAAAATAACACAATAGGTGTCCCTGCTGTATATATACATGTATATATACATGTAAGACACGGCGGTTGAGAGAGAGGGGCACTCGGCGGCCGGGACTCGCCGGATATCACAAACAGCCAGTTACGCAACGATGAAGTGACAGGTGGATTCAAAAATTCGTTCATTTGCGTAAAAAGAACAGAAGGAAAACAATTCCATGAAAAATAAAGAATTTAAATGTATCCAAATATGATGCTATCAACACGATGCTTGTGAACTGGAACGTTTAAACTAAAATTCTAGAGGGAAAAAAAAACTTCTACTTTTATATTTCCGGCGAAGCTTGATGAGTAAAACTCATAATTAAGAATGCCTCTTTTCAGAAGAAATAAATTTAATACATATAAACAGATAGATAAATGAATGAAAAAAAAAATGTTTATCCTGGTAAAAGTCTTTTCAGGGTATAGGTGAAATAATTTATTTTTATCTAGACAAGGGTCCGGGATGTATTAAAAAAATGCAGTGTCAAGCTTCATATTTCTGTGGTTCTAATCCTTTTATTTTCCTCGAGGTTGGGTACATGTTATTGTGCATTCCATATTTTAAGGCAGAAAAGGGGGAATATAATAAGCAGATTCTTAAAATGAATATTTATTATCACGGGGTGACGGGAATACATTTTTTTTTTGGTTTTAAAATATTTATTAATAAAATTTAACATTACATCTAAGAAATATTTTATTATTACGATATTTACTTAATATCAAGGTATAGATTCAATATAGACGCACATGTAGCTTAAGAATAATGCCTGGACCAGCACACATCTGTTGCATATAATGGACTAATTGGAAGGAAATTTATAATTCTATTTTAAAAACAATTTACATCAGGCACCGTTGTGATTAATGAAAATAAATACCTATCATTTGATTTATTACTTTTCCAAGACATGTAAGTAGTCTTGAATATCTTCAGGAAGAAAAAAAATAGATCGGAATATTGTCTTTTTCTCTCAATTTACTTCTGAAAGCATATTTCTTTCAGATATAAATAACATCCTCTTTCCTTGTTTGAATTTGAATTAAAAAAATTGTTTAACACGCCCGTGGGAAGCGAGAAAGAGGGAACGACGTCCAAATAATTTTACTGCAATTCTTCCATCAACGATCATTTACAGTAATACGTATGTCTTCTAAAAACGTCCTGTTCTTTTTCGTGTTTTTTCTTTTTTTTTGTATTTAATGGTTTTATTTTTTATTACTTAGTAATGCATTTATTTATTTAAATTTCTTTTGGCTAGTCAAGAAATTCTGAAACTGCTTTCAACAAAACTTTTTTAAAAGTGCAACAACTACTGTATTGAAAAATAATGAGGACAAGCTTTAAAGGATTATTTTTAAATAATTACAGTACTATTATTGAAAGAGCTAGAGTTTAAAGTCTTTGAAAAAAAGCTTTATCTGCCATTTATTTTTCTTTTTTTTCTGAAATCATTTTTTTAAAATAAGAACGATTCTTAATGATTTTAAACAGATTTTCTTTCCTCAGTCTTCCTTTCAACCAATTCCTCTTCCTTTCCAGTCAGTGTTAGGCTTGTTTTAACATCTTCCTTGGGTTCAGAGAAATAATCTCAGTAATTATCAGCAATTCTCAGTACCAACAGTAACTCTCAGCAAATATCAGTAATTATCAGAACCCACAGTAAAAACGACAGTAAATATCAGTAATTATCAGAACCATCAGCAATTATCAGTAACAACAGTATAAAATATCAGCAAATATCAGAAATTCTCAGTACCAACAGTATAATATCAGTAAATATCAGAAATTATCAGTAAAAAGTGGCACTATCAGTAATTATTTAGGCCAGTAGTGAATGCAAGTGAACAAACGGTGAGCAAATGCTGAATTCTTTGTGAAAGGTGAATGCGAGCCATTGGTGAACACTGAATGCAAACGATAAACACAAGCTGAACGAACAGTGAATGCACACTGAACGAATGGTGAGCAAACGGAAAAATGGGAAAGTAGAACATTTTAGGGACTGTATGTGGATACTGTATTTTCCATATTTCACTAAAGAATACATATATATATTTTCTCTTAATTTTAGAAAGCAAGATTTAAGCTACCAATTTTAGCAGAGGAACAGATGATTATGGAAACCATTAATGAGAACAATGTGGTAATAATTTGTGGTGAAACTGGATCAGGGAAAACAACTCAAGTACCCCAGTTTCTTTATGAAGCTGGTTATGCCCAGTAAGTTGCCCTATGAAAATTAAGCATTAGCACAAAAAATCAAAGTACTAGAAGGTGTTAAGCATCTATATCAATATGTTTAAGAATCCTCCCATGGGATATAACTAGGGATGTCAAAATATTTATTTTCCTTAGTCGATTATTCAATTCCATCATTCGAATAAGTCGAATATTCGGAACATTTTCTGAAATAAAATTTTATTTCAAACTTCACTGGTACATGACATATTTATAACTCAAAAACCCTCAGTCTGTTTAAAAAGTAACATAAAAATTAATATAGCGTAACGTTGGATAGCAAGATTATATGAAATAATGCAGTTAGTTTTTATTTTAGTTAGCATTCAAAATTTGCTAGCCGATATTTTTTAAAGCTTATTGTGAAATAAATTGGGGAGGGGGGGGGGGGGGTAATCTCACACTATCCAAACGCCAGGTGGCTCTTAAATTGTTAAACAGTTAGTTACTGCTTATTCATTTATTGATTGTTCTGGCTATCAAAATGTCCTTAATTGTGAACAATTTAAAATGCAAGCAAATTGTTCTAATAATTATTGAAGCGTCAAAACATGTCACATGTTCCTTGCATTTGAGCAATCTTGAAATAAAAGATAATTGGTACATCGTATAAAATCAAGTCCAATTAATTATTTTACAAACAAAGAACAGTATATATATTGATGGTTAATTTATTACAAAAACAACACAAGCAGTAACTGCATGGTAGATAATTAATTCTCGCGGTAGTGAAGCATTTATTATTACTGTACTTTCTATACGCACATGGAAAATCAAGTTTTTTGTATAGAAAATTATCTTATCAACTGTCTCCGAGGAAAGACGGTTTCTCAATTTTGAAATGAGAATTCCATCTCGTTATCACTCTTTTATTGCATTTTTAAAAATTATAATATTCAAATGCCATTTCATTATTCGATCGTCGGTCCATTTGACTGACAGTCAAATAGTCGACTATTTGTTGACATCCCTAGATATAACATTAAACCCCCTGCAAATGAATGTTAGGGAGTATATTGGAATCAGCATGTCTGTCTGCCCCTCTGTCTGTCAGAGCTGTTTTTGGAGACTATTGCATGGATTTGACTGAAAATTTGTATACTCATTAGATAAAGATAAGCACTTTATATTTTCATCATGATTGGATAATTTTACTTCATTTAACAGGTGTTTTATTTTTCATTTTTATTGACTTAGGTAATTTTGAGTTCATGTAGATGAAAAGGGTAAAGATAACAAACAGTGATCAATCTCATAGAAACTATAAACAATACAATTCTACAAAATAATACTGTAAAGATCTTTTGGCAACTAGATTAGCATTTTTACCACACCTGAGCTGAAAGCTCAAGTGAGCTTTTCTGATCACCTGATGTCCATCATCCATCCATCTGTCAGTATACTTTTCACATTTTCAATTTCTTCTCAAAAACCACTGGACCAATTTTAACCAAAGTTAGTACAAAGCGTCTTTGGGTGAAGGGGAATTTTAATTGTTAAAATGAAGGGCCAAGCCCCTTACAAGGGGAGATAATCAAGAAAAGACATAAAAGGGTAGAATCATTAAAAATCTTCTTCTCAAGAACCACTGAGCCAGAAAAGGTGAAACTTATGTGGAAACTTCCTGAGGTAATGTAGATTCTAAATTGTTCAAATCATGACCCCCAGGGGTAGGTTGGGACCACAATAAGTATTACAAGAAGAAAAATCTGTTGAGAACAGCAGGACCAAAGTTACTTAGTTCAGCCTTTTTGTCTTTTTTTTTTTCTAAACTTTCAATTGAATTATTTCACTCCAAAATATAAAGATTTCTAATGAGATTTTTTCATGTGCATTAAAGATCCCCCTTACTTGTAAATATTCAATAGCGAAAGAATGATCTAGTTTTGGGAGAAAAATGCTTTTTGTGCTTGCACATTAATTTCATGAGTTTATGGATTAAAGTGTGGCCTGTCATACCATTTTTAGCTCTTCTGAGCCGAAGGCTCAAAGAGCTAATGCTATGGCCATTGGTGCACTGTGTAAACTTTTTAGAATATGGGCCATAATTCAAGAACCCCTTGGCCAATTATTGTAAAATTTGTCACAGGGTATCCTTGGCCCAAGGTTTCCCCTTTATACTAAAACTAGGATTGTGACCCTTAAACAAGGGGAGATCACAGAGACCTACTTTTTAAATTTTGCGGCCATTCTTTATCAAAATGATTTAGAAGCATATTTTGAACAATTTAAGGCCTATGATCATCAAACTTTGTCAGTTGATGTATCTTGGGTCCTCGGAGTACGTCGACTAAAAAGTAGGTCACTTTGACCTACTTTTTGAATTTTATGGCTTATCTTTTTCAAAACAATTAAGGTCTTTAATTTGAATACTGAGAGGTTTAGAATCATTAAATCTTGTAAGAAGATGCATCTTGGGGCCATAAAACATATTTATTAAAAAGTAGGTCACAGAGACCTACTTTTTGAACTTTGCAGGCATTTGATTTCAAAGCATTTTAGAGGTATAATTTGGACATTTTAAGGCCTATGATCATAAAACTTTGTAAGTTGATGCATTTTGGGTCCTCAAAAAACGTCAACTGAAAAGTAGGTCACCGTGACCTACTTTTAATTTATATGACCATTATTAAATATTTAAGGTACTAATTGGCTTAGAATCATCAAACTATGTCAGTTGATGCATCTTGGGTCTTCTGAGTAGGTCGAATGAAAAGTAGGTCACCGTGACCTACTTTTGAAAATATATGGCTTTAATTAAATATCCCGGGTACTAATTGGCTTATAATCATCAAACTTTGTCAGTTGATGCATCTTGGGTCCTCAAAGTACAACTGAAAAGTAGGTCACTGTGACCTACTTTTGAAAATTTATGGCTTTAATTAAATATTTAAGGTACTAATTGGCTTAGATTCATCAAACTTTGTCAGTTTATTCATCTTGGGTCCTTAGAGTATGACGACTAAAAAGTAGGTCACCATGACTTACTTTTGAAATTTTATGGCTCTAATTAAATATTTTAGGAACTACTTGGTTTGGAATCATCAAACTTTGTCAGTTGATGCATCTTCGGTCTGCAGAGTTAGTCGACTGAAAAGGAAGTCACTGTGACCTATTTTTGAAATTTTATGGCCTTATTTAAATATATCAGATACTAATTGGCTTAGAATCATCAAAATTTGTCAGTTGATGCATCTTGGGTACTCAAAGTATGTCATCTGAAAAGTAGGTCACTGTGACCTACTCTTGAAATTTTATGGTTATAATTCTAAAAATATTTTAAGTATTAATTGGCTTAAAATCATCAAACTTAGATGATGCATCTTGGGTCCTCAGAGAATGACAACTGATAAGTAGATCACCATGACCAACTCTCAGGTACTAATTGGCTTAGAATCATCTTAGGTTCTCAGAGTGTTTCATCTAAAATGTAGATCATGATGACCTACCAGGATACTTAGAGGCTTCAAATAGAAGTGATAGGTTGTACAGTTTATCAGAAGAGCGATTCAAGGCCCTTGGGCCTCTTGTATGAAAAAATAATTCTGTGCAATTTTATTTGAGGCTAATGCATGCCAATCTCAAAATTTTCTGAGAAATGTTGGATTATTTCTTAGCTGAGTTGGTAAAATGGTGTTGAAAGTCAAATTTTCTGAGAAATCTCAGATTTGAGAAAATTGCAGTTTTGGTGGCACCAAACCCTGCATTTGTATGTCAGTAAGTTTATCAATACAAAATTATGCAGTTCATCAATGTTTTGTACTATGCATTGTAAAATCTTTAGCAATGAGATATTTACCTCTCTAAATTAACCTACCTTCATTCCCAGAGGCCAGGGCACAGTTTCTAAAATAAGAAATAAGGAATAAGTTGCATGATAGCTTGTTGTTCTAGAATGACAAGCAGTTAACATACAGTTAAACATTGTAATTTATAGTGCTGGGGGTATCATAGCTGTCACTGAACCTAGAAGAGTGGCTGCAATCAGTATGTCTGAGAGGGTGGCAGCAGAGATGAACCTCACCAGTAGGTAAGTTTAGCACTGCCATAAGCTATTGTATTTTTTGTTCCGAGTGCTATAAAAGTAGGTTCACCTCACAAAGAGGTAGGTATAGCAGGATAAAGTATCTTTATACCCCTGCTCTGAAGAATAGGGGGATATACTGTTTAAACCTTGTGTGTCTGTCTGTCATCTGTCTAGCTGTCTGTGTGTCTGTGTGTGACAAATTTTCATAGCAGTTTTCTTAGCAACCACTCATTGCATATGCTTGAAATCTTAGCACATTCTTTGTTTAGGTATGCCATATGGTGGGATTTATTTTGGTCATAGTTGCCAACTCACCCGATTTCGTCAGGTTACACCCGATTTTTCGACCCTTAACCCGATTATTAGGTCACCTGAGTCACTCAGGTGACCTATTGCTATCCGTTCTCGTCCGTCAGCGTGCGTCGTGTGTTAACATTTGAACATTTTTAGCTTCTCTGAAACCGCTTAACCAATTTCAACCAAATTTGGCATATAGCATCTATGGGTGAAGGGGTACAAAAATTATGAATTTCATGGTCCCTGCCCCCCTGGGGCCTGAGGGGTGGGGCTAAAACCACCAAAAATAATGCAATCTTTAAAAATCTTCTTCTTTACTCCAGGACATCAAGCAGTCAAACCGTTGGCATCATTGTAACAAGCATTGAGCCCTCTACCAAAATTATGAAATTCATGGCCCCAGGGTCAGGGCTTCTGGCCCCAGGGTGGGGCTATATAGATCATATAGTGAAAGTGCATTATTTCTTTGAAAATCTTCTTCTCTGCTCCTTGGTATTAAATAAAGTAACTAAGTACATAGTTATGAAGAGCAAGAATGCCTCTTCCAAAATTGTGAAATTCATGGCCCCAGGGTCAGGGGTTCTGGTGTTAGGGTGGGGCTCTATTGATTATATAGTGAAAATGCATTAATTCTTTGAAAATCTTCTTCTCTGCTACTGGAGATTATTTAAACAAACTAAGTGCATGATTATGATAGGCAAGGATGCCTCTTCCAAAATTTTTAAATATATGGCCTCAGTTTTTGGGGTTCTTGAGGAAGGGGGGGGCACTCTATTGATTATATAGTGAAAAAGCATTAATTCTTTAATTAATCAGTAATTAATCCTGTCTGCTCCTTAGCGTTGAGCTGATAAATAAATTGCTTAGCTATGATGAAAATGGGAGCTTCGAACAGAATTTTTAAATCTTGTGGTCCTAGGGTCAGGGGTTCTGGCATAATGGGGGGGGGGGGGCTTTTGATAATATAGTGGAAAAGTGTTAATTTTTTGAGGGTAACTCTTCCAAAATTGTAAATTTCTTGACCCTTGGTCTTGGGTTCTGGTGTTAGGGTAAGGCTTTTTTAGGTCACCTGAGTCACTCAGGTGACCTATTGCTATCTGTTTTTGTCCGTTGTCGTGCGTCGTGCATTAACATTTGAACATTTTCAGCTTCTTCTCTGAAACCGCTCAACCAATTTCAACCAAATTTGGCATATAACATCTATGGGTGAAGGGGGACAAAATTTGTGAATTTCAGGGTCCCTGCCCCCCTGGGGCCTGAGGGGTGGGCCAAAAACCATTAAAATTAATGCAATCTTTAAAAATCTTCTTCTTTACTCCTGGACATCAAGCAGTCAAACTGTTAGCATGATTATAATAAGCATTGAGCCCTCTACCAAAATTGTGAAATTCATGGCCCCTGGGCTCAGAGTTCAGGCTCTAGGGTGGGGTCAAGGTCAGGTGTGTGAATGTTGAAAATGCATAATATCTTAGATTTTTTTCTTAACTCCCAAATTTCAAGGAGGTTAAATGTTTTACTATTATATTGAGCAACGAGTTCTCTACCAAAATTGTGAAATCTATGGCCCCTAGGTTCAGGGTTCAGGTCCCAGGGTGGGGCTACAAATGTAACTTTGTCATATATTGAAAATGTATAAATTAAAAAAAAAATGTCTTATGTTTCTAAATTGTGATCTGAAAGCAGTTAAATGTTGGCATGAATATAATAGCCCTCAACACTGTGGAATGTATTACCCCTCAGTTTTGGGTCCAGGCCCCAGGGTGGGGCTAAGTTAAATTGCACAATGAGGCCTATATATATTCAATTTTGAAGAAGCATTTTCGTCATAATGTACAATTTAATTATATGTAACAAATGTTTATGTGATGTTTGATGTTTTTAAACAATATCTTAAATTCATTCGCACAAGGAAGAAAACAGTTGTGATTTTTATGGCGACGGTTAATCAACCCGGTGTTAAGGCCTACCATTAGAACATCCACGCATGCGCAGAAACGATCGTCTGGAAGAAGATAGACTCGAGCGTCCTGAGTAGAATATTTACGTTTTTTTTCAGGTCTAAGGTTTTGCATTACGAACGGTGGGTTTGAGTGTTACGATTTTGTTACGTGCTTTTGCAAATACATCGCATTCTTTTTGGTAATCATTAGATTCCTTTCAGCTTTGTTGAAATAATGGCTTATGATGGACGAGCTATGAAGAAAAAGCATTTTATATGCAGTAATAAATTATCTGCACTGGGTATTTAATATTGTTTTTGTTTTGCTTTCTTATTGTATATAGGGAATTTATGCTCAGAACTTTAAATGTCATGAAATAATCAGATCAAATTATCTCGGAAGCAGCGGGGTAGATCATTGAATTACGTCCGATTTGGTATGGTGGAAAATTTCTACATTTTAAAATTTGGGATTAAGATACTGTTTCAACTTTTTACATATTTTTGTATTCAATACATATTGTTAAGGCTAATTCTTTGATTTATTTTGGCAATGGGAAGTTTTGCCCCCTATTGACAATTCGTACTAAGACTATATTCACCACATAAGACGTTTTGTGCCATATATAATGTATATGGTACATGTTAATATTTGTGTGTATACTTATAATTTACTTATTTAGTATATTAGATTTGATTAAACTACTCAAAAAAAAGTGTTAGTTTTTTCATCTTGTTCTTTTAGTTTGGGATACTTGTATTTATCAAATCATTTATTCATGCACTTAGCGACTAGCAAATACATGTATGTATATATGTTTATTCAGGAATCTTAATTTTATTTGAATACACCTAAATGATTCAGAGACTCTCAAAGCAATTAGGCAAATTACTGGTATGCCAATAATTATTCATGAGTGCAGGGCTAGAAACTCTCCAAACAGACAACTCAGAATTAATTGCTAGTATCAAAAAATTAACTCATAATTTCCAAAGAATTGCAATTTTATAATATTTTTATCATTAAAGCATAACATTACTTAATAATACTACTGTTTAATACATAATGACAATATGTACATATTTAACTTTACTGTTTATTAACAGAATGAATTTAAAAGGAAAATTCCAGAGGACATGAATTAAGATATTTTTATGTTAGACCCCTGATGTCATTGAAGGATTTCATGAAATTCATTGAAGATCAGTAGATAAACATGTAATTAGTATGGAGTCCTATGCCTGCACGTGTTCTTGCTCTATATTGGCTATTCATTCAGTTAATTTCTCATTTATCAATGAAAGAAGATTTATAATGTAGGTTTATGTTATGTGTCCATAAAGTGAGGTTTCTAAATTGAAAACAAGTCGGGATATCATTGATGCATATTGAAAATGGCTGCTATTAGGTTTAAACTTAAATGCAGTTAGCATTTCATTGAACTTTTTCAAATGTATATATATATATGCAGCAAAAACATAAAATCATTCAGAAAGGGAAGATTGTCAGCATGTGTATGCACATGCATTGAACTCTTATTGGCATATCATTTTACAGTAATTACTTGAGTAAATGAGCTGTTTGGTAAACACTGTAATGACCACCATTACAATTAGTATTAGTTACTTTTGGAAGCAAAAGACTGAGATTTAGTTGCTGAATTTTTCTTTTTCAGGTGCAGGAAATTTAGATTGTTTTTTGCATGTTCATAATTATCAAACAAAACTTCTAACACATCATTAAGGTCTTCCGTTTCCAACGGAAGACCTTCTACTGATTCTGATGGTTAAGATTATTATTCTTTTTTTTTTTCTTCTTTTTCCTAGACGCCAACTTCGAGGCCTCATATCTCGCTCATTTCTCAATGGATTTTGCTCAAATTTGCAGAGTTTATAGACGTTACAAAACTCTATCAGAATGCTGTCAAACAGTTCAAAAAATCACTTCCGCTTTTGAGTTATTGCCCTTTAAATGAAAATTTATTACGCTTCATTTCCAGACAAAGGCTCCGAGACTACAAAAGCTGGAGCAGAAATTCTACCGAATTTAGATAATAGAAGGATTGAAGTTGTGCACATCGGTTTTTGTCTTTCGATTTCTGTATTCAAAATGGCGCTAATTACGGGTCAAAATTTAGAACGCCTAAAAGAGCGAAAATTTAGACATATTTTCCTTTGTATCTTTAAAACTAAAAATATTTTGATAAGACATGTAGAATAAAAGTTGTGCACAATTTCAAGGCCTTTCATTTGACACCACCAAAAAGGGGCTGGCCCCTCAAATTAGGGATCTGGAGCCCTTTAAAGTTTTTGCTTTATAACTCAAAAACGGTAAATATTTCGAAATGGCTGTCGTAAAAAAAGTTGTTCTTTAACATCTTATTGATTTCATGAAAATGTTATTTTGTTCGAGTCTTGTGTTTTAAATGCGCCAGAAGCTTGACCCATATACAGGTAACTGTTTTCATTCAGCAAGTAAACGAGAGATCTTCATGCGTGTAACTAAAACAAACTTACTATAAATGATAAATCTGGCTACATTAGATGCTAATATTCTTTAGAATAAGGTTCTTGAAGTGTTCTGTGCTTTATTTCCAAGTTATTTTTTGACAACTTTTCGTTTTATTTCATTTTTTTCAAAGTCGAATAAACCAGTCTACTAAAAAAAGGGGAAAAAAGGTAACCTTTTCTTCTTATCATATAAAAACAAACAATATACTGAGAAAATAAAACATAACTTTGAAGCATAGACTATATACAGCCATTA